AATTGTCAAGTAACAATAGACAAAATAATAATAATATGTTGTGTTACACTAATTATAGTAATTTTTTAATTAAGTAATCTTCAATAGAATAGTAAGCTTTAATTAATAGGAATTCTTTTAGATATCTGTATAGTATAAGCAAATTGAACATATTTGGGCAACGTGTTGTAAATTCTTGGCGCCATTACAAATATACTTTTGTGGTGTAATATCGTTTTGGCTGGAACTAATATAGGTACTATATAGATTCTGATTCAATTTACCAACTCTAATGACAAAAAAGAAAGGCCCCATTCACTAGCTTGTTTTAATACCTTAGAACCCAAAGCATACGTACAGAAAATACTCTACTCTAGTTTAATATTGCTATATAATAACTAAGATTCTGTAGCTATTTACAAAGTTACGTATCGACCGGTTCCTTTACATTTTATTTGCTCAAGTATCAATAAGTAGGCCGACTCAATATACTGATCTCTTTTAAACTGGAACTATTCAGTTAAACGCATGAACATAATACTATCAAAAAGCAGTAGAAATCAAATTAATTTACTATTTTTTCATTAATACCTATTAATATATAGTATACTATTAATATATAGTAAAATACTTCGTTTTGTTTTGAATTCTTAGTCATAAAGTACATAAAATATCTAATTATAATCTTTATTTTTTTTATTTAAAAAGTCAACTCCCGAATTAGGAATATATATATAGAATATGTCGCGAGGGAGACGTGAAACGAGCACAAAGAACACCCAGACTCAGAACAACAATTTGTGGATTACACAAAGTGTCGTCCCATGTGGGGATCGGACCCACAACACTTAGCGCAGTAGTAGTGAGCGGACCTAACTAAAAAAATGCAGTTTCAGATTTACAAAATGCACTGACTTTTCTTCTTCTATGCTGTTTTATCACTCGTCAGATCATTAATTACTCCCTTTCACTGCAAAAACGATTTTATATTTTTTCTTTTATAGCCGACCACGCTCATCTGTCCGTAATCATGACAAACACTATTCTAATTATAGACACTATTGTACTCCCTGCTTGTGATCAAACTGCACTATTTACACAAACCAGTTTTTATTATAAACCTGGAAATACCTAAACTGCATAATAATGTCACAGTACCAATTCCTACTTAACACTGATCAGATTCGACTCGTTTTGGTTGAGTACACAGCTCTTTAACCAAGTAATTCTAGCTTAGCAAGTCAATGAAATTATCAATCTTATTTGCTTAAAGTATACCAAGTGGTAAAAATAAACGATATGAAATACTATATGTTTAACCTTGTAGTTGCCCGAGCGACGCAGTGTTGAGCGTCGTGGTGCAATACAGGTTAAGTGTTGTTACAGTCATGTGGTGTAAACACACATTCTTAGCATAACGAAGGAAAAATCTGAAAGGTTGCAAATATTTTGCCGCGAAGAGTACTGGGGGTTCGGGTTTTTTTTGTCCAGTATGAGACTGGGCAAAAAAAATGTTATCTACAAACGGTTGTTCTGAGTCTGGGTGTTTCTTATATCTGTTGTAAGTTGGTACACAAATTTATCTTAGCACGAGAGCTCTTATTGTATTCCATCAAAACAAAGTGAAATATATGTCAGAAAGATATTCTCTGGATTGTTGATCATGACTGCAGAGCACGAAAATCTTAGTGCAAATATTTGTTCTGACAGAAATCAGAGCCCACAATCTTCTACGTTGCATTTCCTATACTGAACTAAGTGACATTAAAAACAAATAAGAGCATAAAATATATAATCAAATTACCATTGAACGTTAGACACAAATATTTCCACATTGAATTAATTAGCTTTCTTGTTTTGTCGTTTCAGAGATGTTTACGAGTCAACGTCTTGCTACTTTCGCCGAGAGTTATGGAAAAAAACAATATCCAAAATTACATCGTACAAGTTGTATGGTTGTATTAATGCTTACAAATCTCTTAATATATCGACACTTGTGGATAAAATGTGTTCGAACTGCCACTAAGTCATTTTTTTTATTGAAGGGAAAACTTCTTGAGGCGCGTTGGGCATTTTTGAACAACAAACAAAATAATGTATTTGAGTTTGGGTTGAAATGCACTGATAATATAATTATATATAATATAAAAAATATATTGTGTATTTGTTCAAAATAGATATAAAAATTAATGTCAGAACTTTTCGAATCGAAAAAATCAAAAGTTAAATATTCAATTTTTCAGTTCTGTCGGCACTCCTGGAGTGCAACAGTTTTTTTTTTTAAATTAAGTATATCTATACGGCTATAGCCGTAGAGGCAGACTTACTATTAAAACATTTTTTAACACTGGATATAAGAAAATAATGTTTTGATTTTTTGATAATTGATATGTATAATGGGCACCAAGAAGTACGGATTAGTGACCCGTCGCTTTTTCACTCAAACTCTTTTTATTGCATTTTTTTTTTTAATTATTTAAAATCGTGTCCTTTGTAGACTCTAAAGTCATAAATCAACACACACAATAGCACCGAGCAAACTAAATGTATACGTATCAAAAATCTCTTCTTTGCCTGTGCCGATCTACAACCGCCCATTTCCAAAGGGTTGAGCCTCATGAGAAGAGAGGGCAAACAAACTCACGGCCACTCTTTTCAATCAACAGATAACAATGGCATCATTAAATATACACAACATTGTTTTGATGTTTGCCAGTATGTTAGTTTTAAGGACTAAAAGATAAAAAGGCAATAAAGTGAAAACAAGATATAGAAAAAAGATGGAATAAAAAAGAAAGTGAAGTAAAACATAAAAAAATGTAAATTAAATTAAATACACACCAGCCCACATCACATTTCCACGATATAGCCTGTGCTAAATGAATCCCAAGCATTCTTGTCTTCTATGTAATCCACAATTGAGTAATAAGCTTTCTGACATAGTTTAAGTTTTATTGTGGATAAAAATTAGTTCATACTAAAATCTTGTATACTATTTGGGATTTTAGTATAGAATCGGACACATTGACCTCGAAATGACTTGTTTATCTTTTGGAGCATAGAGGCAGGTACAACAAGTTTATTTTTGTATTTATGGTATTAAAAGCATGTACATCACTTCTTTTTAAGAAGCTATCTTTGTTTTAATAAACATATTACATTTTCATATATATATTGAGTTGCCACTGTCATTATGTTCTTTAAATTTTTGTCTCAATAAAAAACAATTGCCTAAATTATAAAGTGCTCGAATTGCTCTCTTTTGCAGCACAAAAATAGATTGAACATCGGTAGCATTCCCCCACAGTAAAATATCGTACGACATTATGCTATAAAAATATCTGAAGTAAACCAGTCGTGCTGTATCAATATCAGTCAATTCTCGAATAGCAAATGCCACATCATAACTTAATAATAAAAATCATATAAGAGTAAAACCACAAAATAAGCTCGAGACTTGTAATAATAATAAACATTGAACGCTAGAGAGAGCATCGGTACTTAGAAATGTACTTTCTTTTATTAGACATTGACAACTTGGCACTTAAAATTACAGAGCACGTTCTATGTCGTAGACAATTACGACGTATGGCATGTCGTATTGCTTTAGCATATTTGATTGACCTGTAGGTCTAGTGGCTTGTGATCCTTACTGCTAAGCCAGAGGTCCTGGATGCGATTCCCACTTAAGACAAATAACTGTGTGATGAGCATGAATTAATGTACTTCAGAATTGTATATCTTAAAAAGTTCCACAGAAAGGTTCGCGATTATATATGTCTATATATTACATAGGCCCGCACCATTCCTGCCGGGCCGTACGTCCGTCCCGGATGGCAACGGCAATTATTATAACCCCCCGACAGGAACAGTGCGGGCCTATATAATAATTAATATTGCATATAAAAGTGTCCTGTAGTAAAGTCTTATCAACATTTAAAAACCTATTTAGCTATATCTCATTTCATTTTCATTATGTTTATTTCTTTAAATTTCTGCCTTAATGCGACGATTGCCTGAATTATAAATTGCTCGAATTGCTCTCTTGTTTAGCACAAAAATGGTTTGAATGTCGGCAGCATTCCCCCGACTACCGTACGACATTATGCTATGAAAATAACTGAAGTAAACAAGTCTTGCTTTAACAACATCAGTCAACTCTCGAATTTTTTTTACTGCGTATGCTGCTAAGCTGAGTCTACTCGATAATTTATCTTCGAAAGGAACTTCGTCCCGACGGGGGGTCCATAGACCCCTCACGCCTAAATTCACAAGATATTTATTTCATCTTATGACTTCGTCAATTCCAATATGTCATTAAACTAAACCTGTACGAAGATTTGCAGCGTGAACTTTTAGGGAGAACTACTTACGAAAACATGATTTACTACTTTTCATAATGCAACATGTTTCTCACTTTCAAAATGCTTTACGTTCATACAAGTCATAAAATAAACCACACGGAAGAAATACAGTTGTAGTAAATTGCTTGCAGTATCACAAATAAATTCATTTATCATTAAAACTTATTTTAGAGACCTGAAATGAAGCAAATATTTACACATTCCTTTCTAAGTTTTATTAAAATTGGGAATATAACCTTACACATCTCACAAACAGCTTTCTGATCCCAAACTGGGCAGAGCCTGTATTATTATAACCAACCCTCTAATTACCATATTTACGAGTATACCTATTTATTTTTAAGTACATAAAAATAATACAAAGTACATATTATAGTTAACTTTCATCCAGACACAGAACAAATCAAATCAAAAATCCAAATATTAAAAAGGAAAAGTTGTTGAAAAGGGAAGGCATTGGAAGGAAAGGAATATTGCATTTACGGATGGGTAAGGTTATCAGTAATAGTAGAGAGTAACTAATAGCTGAAACAGATCGCGGCGGTTTAATAGTTTATCTATTTATTGTTTGATACTTTTATACAACCAGAGTACCACCAATATAACCTGACCATGTAAATAGAGCAACAATAGGCTTAAAGATAGTATAACATTCTTCTACAGTAGATAGTGACTTACCTGAGTGGTTCGAAGTGCGCTGGTGATGGCGAGAAGTGCCAACGCCACCGCGCTCCACAACACACCGGCTCGCATCCTCATACACTGGAATAAACATACACATATATTATTTACGTTAATAACTAACACAAGCTAACTTTTACGAATTGACAAGTTGATATACACACTATAACAGCCTAATTCTGTGATGATGTTGGAATAAACCAGTAGGTATAATCATATCAGTAACTTTGAAAATGGGTACACAATATTTTCATTGTAATGTTAAAGATATCGGCGTAAAGTAAATTCACAATTAAATAATTTGGAGAATTCATTACATATTAATATTCCTGCACTACAACTTTCTTTGTTTCGTTGCAATTCAACATTGTAGTATGATTCAATTCTGGCTAATTTTAACAGCAATTTCCTGTCAGACGAGGACACCTTTTCAGTCAAAGGTCCTATAAAGTGTCTAGAAACTGTATTTAAAATAATAAGTGTAATTTTAGATTCTTTTTAATTCGTACAAGATAAACTATTTACAGGATGATTATAAAATGTTATATAATAATGCAATATTTAAATAATATTGCAAAAAAAATGTTTAGTATTACAAATATTGATGATACTTTAGTAATTTATATTCTGTTGTAACAAAAAGTATTTAAAATAAAGGAATTATTCTGATACAGCTTATATTTGTTGCCTTACTTAGCTCATAATTTTCTAACTGTCATTAAGTTTTACGTCCTGAACCTATACTTCTGAAATTATCGTCATTTAATAACCACAATACTTTAATTACATCACTGTATCAATTAAAGTTTTGAATGGCTGATGAACCGAAGTAAAAAATGTACGTGATTTTTTTAAAGAAAGGCTCTTAACGCAGTCACATCAAAATTTTATAAAAAAAACAAATTATCTAAACTAGAATGTTTAGACGTAGTATACAAATTAAATGCAAAAAATTCTAACATTAATAACCTTGTGGCCTACATGGATAAGTTTTCGTGATTTCTAACTCAACTTGATTGCAAAATGTAGTAGTAGAATTAAAACAATAATAAATCATTTCAACCGTTACATCTAACCAGAAATGTAGACTAAACATGCTTTTTTTGTAAACACCTAACACAAGGCCGTCTGGTTCAGTGCCTGTACTATGCGTAAGCAGTTTTAGCAGCTGATGCTATTAATGTTGTAGGCACCTAACCAATTGTATATTAAGTTATCGAGGTAAGAACTTTCAAGAGGCGGACGCCTGGACACCAGAGAAGTATCTCTGGTGGTCGGGCGCATTGAGGGGTTACGGGTGTCCCTGGATAAGACGGAGGCCCTATTATTCCATGGGCCCCGTCGTGGTCCTCGCCCCGGCACCTCAATCGTGGTCAGCTCGGTAATCGTACCGGTTCAGGCCATCAACTAACACATCAACTAACGAATGTCAACACACTCATAAAGCTAGTACATTCGTATCAATAAATCTGTCTGCGCAGACACACTTTCACTATCAAAACTTTCAACGCCATTTTACAACTTACCCACTGTATTATTAGACAGATGTAAGTACCTACTTTAACAGACTACAGATATAATTATAGTTTTCACTGGTTTTTACATTTTGCATACTCATCGCTTATTTAATATTCATAGGGTATTTTACATTCTTTTTATAGGTTTGTTCATGTCGTTTCAGTCTCAGTTTGTTCAGTTCATCAGTTTGTTCAGGTGTCCGTGTAGTGACGGATTATGGAATGAATACGGAATGTTACTACCCCAATTCATCCTGTGGGTTTCGTAAGAGCCGACTAAGGGCGCAAAACAACGCAGGACACCAGCATTGCAAAAAGAAGGAAAAGTTGACACAAACCCTATACCAACCCGTCTGGCCAGCGTGGTATAGTAGGCCAAAACCTCCTTTCTAAGGAGAGGAGGCGGCTAATGTCCAGCAGTGGACTATTAAAGGCTGTTGATGTTGATGTGATGATGTAAGCAATATCTTTTCGCCGCCAGCGCAACCTAGTCGAAACTTCAGGAGCGCGTTAACTAACGTAAATATAATTATGTATCATGTAACTGTATCAACAAACTATTTTGTTCAAGAGACCCCTTTTCAAAAATTAACTGATACCGCAGACCTCCAAAGTTTCTCTGAATTCAATTTACAATCAGAAATACGTAAGTATGTTTATGAGCACTCTGGCCGTATGTCGGATGTATTTAAACATTAACATAATATTATTACTATTTTTAAAATATATTTTTGAAACCATCACTGCACGGACCCCAAATAAATTTGAGGACGATGATGATGATGATATATTTGTAAAAACATGCTCACGATCTTTGCAAAACGCTAATGATTTGCCTTTTCCCTTCTCATTTTACATATTTATATATACACGTAACGACTTCGTCATTTCGGTCGATTTACACCGGTAGTGGTCACGGGTAGACTGATTCGATGTTTCGGTACAGTGGCGATAAAATATAAAGACATAAAAGATATTCAACTTCATAATGTTTTAACCGGTTGACTAGATTTATACAAAATATATCTAATAGATAATATTGTATATATAAATATAAAATTTGTAGTCTTTCGATTTCCGCACAGTGTAAATATTTTTATGCACAAATTCGCACGGGTGTGACTGAATGAGTTTTGTGACTGTATTGGGTAGCAAACGGCTCCACCCATTGTAAGCTATGCTTAGTTTGGATCTACATTGCGTTGTGTAACGCGTCATTTTTACTTCTCTCTAAGCAGAACAAAGGCTCTGCTTAGAGAGAAGCTCGAAGAACATAATTATTGTATGATTTAAAGTAAACATAAACATAAAAACATGTAATGGTAGACAAGGAATGTTGCTTATACGGATAAATTCAGGTAAGGTGAGTAATATCATCCTTGTGTCACCACCCCAAGTCATTCAATTTGTGTCGTAAGTGCCGACTAAGGGAGCAAACTACGCAGACAACAGCACTGGAGAGAGAAGTAATACTTGACACAAACCCTATACCAACCCGACTGGCCAGCGTGGTATAGTAGGCCAAAACCTCCTTTCTACCGAAAGGCCTAAGTCTGGCAGTGGACTATGAGAAGCTGTTGAGCAATTTCTCAAGCAAATTAGAGTCGCGTACCTTCAACTCGATTAGCCTACTATCGGAAAGTAAGAATCTTAAACTAATAATTATTTTGCAATAACGTTTCTAATTAACCTACGCACCAATAACCAATTGATTAATTATCATGAGACGATGCATGCATGCGCTGTGCAGTAACAAATGTATGACAACATCGCACCACTTGCCATGTGGAGCGGGTAGTGATGTAAGGCGCATTTTAATTTACCCACAACACTATTGATCTAGGTAAAGCAAATTAGCTTGTAAAAATAACATGTTGTTTTATTGTGTGTTTTGGAGAGCGTAAGTTTTAATATTTAATAATTATACGTTCTTTACTCCTGATAGCAGATAAGCTTGTAACTCCTTGTGACCGTCACTTAGGAGCAGTATGCATCGTGAGATTTTAGTCAACTCGATTTGGACACACTGCCCTATCGAAAACCCCAATAAGGTGACCCCGATAGGGCTACCAAACTCGAAAAATAAAAGTGCCTTTGCCTTGTTATTACTAGCTGGGGTACAAACCACTCCCCTCGCCTCTCTCCATAATTAGAGGAGTATTTGTGCTCTGCACCGAAAAGCACCGAAAGAATTGGTGACTGGTTTTCTCTGATGCCATGTGGTACCAGCCTTCCAGTGGAAGCAGCCCATTTTTGTCGAAGATGGGTCCCAGACGGTTAAAATAGGTTTTATTACCGTCACTACTAATTGAATATCCTAATAACATGATATAACCTCAAAAGCTGGCAACTGTGAGTTGCCAGCGCTCATGGGTGACGGTATTCACTTTCCATCGGGTCGTTTGCCCGCTCTTCCATTAAAAAAAGAGATACCTCGTTAAAAGACTCAAATAGACTATTATAACTAGTGTAATCATTTCTTAAACGTAAACGTAAAATCAAATAATAGCATTTATATTTTGTCCTAAGTTCGAGCGCAACACCAAAATCTTATAAAAACCCCTATAATCAACGTTTACCTTCGAAATAATAGATCATTTTCTTAATTAGTTTTACAAACATACATGTAACGAACACAAAGATCACCCAGACTCATAACAACAATTTGTAGATCACACAAAGTGTCGTTCCATGTGGGGATCGGACCCACAACACTTAGCGTCGCAGTAGGCGGCGTGGCGACAGCTTAAACCACTACGCCATCCATGTATTAGTACTCGTAGTAGTAGTTTTATATAGGTATTTTTACTTTACAACTTATAAAAATATCTATACACAAATAAGAGGACTAATCATTAACGACCAGCTGTAATTACATAAGCCATAGGTTACAAATTAATAATCATAAATATCTAGTTAATGTTGAAGTAAATGCACAGACAGACCTTGTCCTCAAATTATATTGTCTCCTTTCAAAGAGTGATTAGTCATCATTTAGTAGCCGATCAAATAGTTGGTTTGCCCCGGATCTGTTTAAGTCATATCGAGATGGCATTGACAGCAATTTGGACTTTCCCGGAAACGGTTGCCACCTTATGATTCCCCCTCCATCCCTAACTCTCGAGTGCAGATGTCCATAGACGGCTGCATGGCGTCGATCCGGTAACCTGTCCGCTTATTTGCAATACCATAAAAAAACCGACATTTAAGAAGCGTGTTATGATGTACTTAATTTAAACCTACTTTTTATTTCGTTTGTCCGTGTGGTGACGGATTAAAAATACGGAATGTCACCTCCCCTATGTATCCCGTGGGTGTCGTAAGAGCCGACTAAAGGAGCAAACTATGCAGGACAACAGCACTAAAAAGAGAAGGAAAACTTGACACAAACCCTATACCAACCCGTCTGGCCAGCGTGGTATAGTAGGCCAAAACCTCCTTTCTAAGGAGAGGCCTATGTCCAGCAGTGGACTATTAAAAGTTGTTGATGTGATGATGTGATGTGTTTTATTTCGAACCACCAAAATCATCGAATATAAAATCGCAGGACCCTATTTCATGTTT